AGGATAATATAAGAATAATATAAAAACTGCCACCAAGCTAAAACAAATAGATTCAGTCTTTTTTTTTTCTTCCCCTAAGATAAAAGTTTTTCCAAAGTCATTCTTAGGTTCCTTTACTTCTTGTTATTTGGTCTAGGATAGATTTCCAAATATTAAAAAGCTCCAGCTGTGTAAACAAAACCTGCTTTCCCTTAAGAGCTTAAGCAAATGATTTTCAGGGGGAATTTCTGATAACAAAATTTCAAGTCCACTAGATGGCTGTATTAGCTTGTATTAGCTTGTATCCACTCCGTGCTTAAAGCTTCTGTTTCAACTTTTTTAAAAAAAATAACAAAATGGCAAAAATTACTAAATGCCAACATGCCTGCCTTATTAAATTGGAACTTTAAGCATAGTTTTGCCTTTGACTCTGATTTAATTCTGCATGATATTTGGAACGCTGACACATTGTTTATCTCTAAGCCTTCTCCAATGGCATCTTGCAGGGAATAGGTCCATTAAGCATGCTGTCTCTGCCAGCACATTATATGCAGGCAGTTTCTACTTGGAATAGATGATCTCACAGTCAGACATGTACACAGGAGTTATTGCTAATATCTTGAATTGCCACAGATAAACAATGCAGCTTCTGTGCTCCCTATGCGACATATATGCTTACCACAAGTGTTTGGGGTTAACCAAAAGCATAGCCCAGTTCCTACAATCAGCTTCACTTAAAACCTCCCAGTTTGCATTCCACTTTTCTGCCCATCATGCAGAACCAGACTGGACAAATTTATTGTCCTACTTGAAAGGGTTGACACCATAGAAGCACGATTAGCATCCCTTGAAAAAAAAGACATAATACAGAAAACTGAAGCTCCAACATCCTGAAATCCTATCCCAACCCAACAACCATAGGAAACCATCAACCCTGCGAGTAATATCTCCATCCTCATCAAAGACATGACTGAACATGAACAGAAGCGTCCCAACGCTATCTTATTTGGACTTGAGGACACCAATGGATTGGTACCTTCTCTTCACTGGCTGTAATACTGCAGAAAACCATAATAACACTCTTTTGCTCGAAGTCAATGGAGTCATTAAACTCTATTAAATCAATAACTCCCAAAGCCAAAAAAAACCCAACAAATTATCCTATGGTAAGAATGCTTCATTAAAAATATCTGGTGGAAAATACAAAACTGACTACATAGCTAACTTTAAAAACTGCTATGCCACCAGATAAAGACAGAATGCAACAATTAACGACGATTACCATTGCAAGCAGGAGGAAGAGCTGTTACACTTGAAATCCACCCGAGCCTTCTATAATTTCGTAAAAGCCAAACTTAAAAGACTTCAAAACAATCAAGCTACTCGAAAGATATGAGAGAGTGGGGTATTAGTGGGGAGTTGATAGCAATAGACAAGATACTTTTGGGGACAAATTTACAATTTCTTATTGGAATACAAGATGGAAGAAGAGCAGGTCAAGGAGACAATGGTTGCATGGGTGATAAACTTTGGTTATAATATACATTTGGACAGATGGCAAGAACTATGGGAAAGGAACAGGAAAATAATATTGTCAATATTGTATAAGGAAAACCTATATAAGATGTTTTATAGGTGGCACCTTCCGTGCACAAGAATCACCAAAATGTTTAGAAATTCATCGCCAAACTGCTGGAAATGTGACCAAGAACCAGGCACGTACTACCATATGTGGTGGTTGTACCAAAAAGCCAAAATATACTGGCAGAATATCCAAAAGTGG